AGGTGCTGGGAGAAGGCTTGAAAGAAGGGGTGGGCATGAGAAAGGTAGGGATGGAACAAGACGTGTGAGGGCACAGGAGTGTGTGGGGAACTGGGGCAGAGAGTGATGAGGGGGTGGGCATCAGGGAACAAGAGGGCAAAGTGGGCAGGGGCAGTAAGGGAAGGAGAAGGCATGAGGAGGGTGCAGGGGTAAGGGAATGTGCAGGTGCCAGGGGATTCTGGGGGTGAAGCAGAAGGGCAGACACATGCAGAGGAGGGACCAGCACCAGAGGAGAGAGGCAGGGCAGGTGTGTAGAAGGAGGTGTTAGGAGAGGGGATGAGGAAGGGTAGCTCACATGATCTGAGTGGGGCTACTGAAGGAGGGGGCACAGGGGGGAGAGAAAGGCTGGTGGAGGGAGGCAGATCTCAGGAGGGCTGAGGGCAGTGAGAAGGGCAGGGGTCAGGACAGCAGAGGAGGGTGAGGAGTTGGGGGGCAGCAGGCACCAGGAGAGATGATGGAGCAAGGAGAGGCGACATGGCAGCAGAGAGAGGTTTATAAAATATTTATTAATAAATTGGTATGCTGCTCACGGCCACTTTGTTTGCGCCCCACGGTGCAGTTTGGATTTATGTGGGGATCAACACGTGGCCAGTGAGTGGGAGCCAAAACAAAGTAGTCGGTGTAATGATATTTTGTTGATATGTGTTTTAGTAGCTAAATTCTTGGATTGTCATTGCTCATGAAAAGTGCTGTCCCATGGGTGGAAATCGGGTAAATGTTGCATTTTATTAATATCAGCAGAACTGACTTAAATGGGGCTTGTGAGTAGTGTAGTCTTGCCTTAATCTTTGTATTCATGCCTGTCAGTGTGAGAGAAGCTATTTCTATACATTTGCTTGCATATGCAACCACACTTAAGTTGAGGCCCTCAGCATGTTCTGTAAGTATCAGTGTGGCCCCCGGGGCTTCCAAAGTTGAGTTGCCCTAGCTCATCCCTGACAGGTGTCTGTCTAACCTGCTCTTAAATATCTCCAGTGATGGAGATTCCACAATCTCACTAGGCATTTTATTCCAGTGTTTAACCACCCTGACAGGCAGGAAGTTTTTCCTAATGTCCAACCTAAACCTCTCTTGCTGCAATTTAAGCCGATTACTTCTCATCTTAACCTCAGAGGCCAAGCAAAACAATTTTTCTTCCTCTTCCTTATGATACTCTTCTAGATACGTGAAAGCTGCTCTCATGTCCCTTTTCGGTCTTCTCTTTTCCAAGGTAAACAAGGCCAATTCCTTCAGCCTTGCCTCATATCTCATGTTCTCTAGATCTTTCATCATTTGTGTTTATCTTCTCTGGACTTTCTCCACGTTTCCTGAAATGTGGCGCCCAGAACTGGACATGATACTGCAGCTGGGCCCTAATGTAGATGGCTCATTCCCTGCCTAGGGGACATGAGACTGGGCGGGTTAATTTCCAATCCTCCTGTTTATTCTTTTCCTAAGCCAGGAGGGCACAGTAGTTCTGATGGGGACTCTGCAGGAAGGCAACCTGCACTACCCCCTTCCTGAAACCTTGTGCAGGTGTTAAACAGCTGTTCAGCCCATCCTAGAGGTGACTGCATTTCAGTGTGCCTAAAGCAACACTGCACCAGCAATGGACAGGAGAATGACTCCTGGACATGGCTTGCTCATAATTGCTTCAGGCCCGTTGATGGGCCTCAGCCTCTTTCCTTCCACTCCCCTGCTTTGCAATGGGGCTGTAGACTCTGGGGGAGATGGGTGGAGGCAGGCAGAAGTGTCTCCCTGCAGCTGATGTAGACACATCTCTGTAGGTCGCAGGGATCAATCGCCAGATCATCGCTTGGAGGGATCTCCCTGCTGATCTCCTAAGGCTTTCAATTAGCCAAAGGATTCTAGGTCGCAGGCGGCATCCACTGCCGTCTCCTATTCTGTAAGGTATACCCCTTTTGTGTATGGGACCTTTCTATCTTTCTTCTGGGAGAGGGTGGGTTCGTTGCAGTTGCTTGTTGTGTGCCCTCTAATCCCACTGTCTGTGGCATTTCAGGGTTCCCCAGGGACTGCAGCTGCATTCCCCTAGACAGCCCCAGTGGGATCTATGTCATCCAGCCAGCAGGCTCTCCCCCTCGGGTGGGGTGGTGTGACATGGACACCGAAGGCAAAGGCTGCACCGTGGTCCAGAGAAATTCTTATAATACAGAGATCACCTGGCTGGAGTCCTGGAGCACCTACAACTATGGCTTTGGGAATGTGCAGCAGGCTTACTGGATGGGCAACGAATACCTGTCCCTGCTCATGCAGCAGAACACCTACAAGGTCTGCTTTGTCATGGTGGACAAATCCAACAACACCCGCTTTGCGGAGTACGACATCTTCCGTGTGGAGGATGAGCCCAGCGGGTACCCGCTGCAGCTGGGCAGATACTTGGGCGATGCCGAGGACTATCTCACCACCTATCATGCCAGTAGGGGAGGGGGGGCATATACAACAACATGAAGTTTAGCACAAGCGATCGGGATCAGGACCAAGCCAGTGGGAACTGTGCAAGTAGCTATGGAGGCTGGTGGTATGACAAGTGCCAGAATGTGCTGCTGAATGCGAAAGGCTACGTCTACTGGGCCGGGTTCTGTAATAGTGGGGAGTGTAAGGCCTCCTTCATCCTGGTGAAGCCAACAGACGTGTGCTAAGGTTGGCAGGACAAGCCCTTCCTCCCTGGGAGCCAGCACCATTGAGAAGGGCAACAATACGAGCTCAGGCATGGAGCTCCATCCTCTCTCCAGTCCCTGCAGTGCCTCTGCTCTCTTCATCCCATCCCCTGTAAGCGTCTGCCTGATAAATCCCTGTAATAAACTCGAGTGGTGACCATGGCTGGGTGTTTAATGATGTGCAGAGGGAGATTACTGTGTGTAATGGGAGCCCTCCCCCCCCCGCTGTAGCTGTGTCACTCAAACCTTAGCCCCACATTTACCTTGCTTCTCCCTGCCCTGCCATTGCCCCACAGCATTAGTGATCAGGGAATCAGGAACCTGCATTTAGAGCAACTGATTCCAGGGAGGGAACATGAAGCCAGGACTTTCCCTCTGAGCCCTGCATGCCTGATGCCAGTGAGTTTGGGTTCCAACCAAGCCCTGTGGGGTTGGTAGATTTGATAGACATGCAATGAAGCTACACGATAAAGCTACTACTGCCTTGGCCCTAGGGGCGTTCGGGGAGATGGGGGCCAGAAGAGACTGCCATTTCCACTGACGCAATCTTGTTTATTTACAAGGAACATACACACTTCTGCTTCACTAGACACAAGCAGGAACCAATAACAGAACTGCCTCCCTGCTTTCAGCTTCCAGCCTCCAATGCTCCCAAGATTCACCATGCTCATGTGCATCTGACCAAGTGGGTCTTTGCCCACAAAAGCTTATGCTCCTATACATCTGTTATTCTAGAAGGTGCTACAGGACTCCTTGTTGCTCATGCTCACAGACTCACTCAGTTTTCCTGCTCTGCCTCCATGTCTTGGCTGCATTGCTCCCAGATCACATGCCCCTCCTCAGAGCAACAGCCTAGTCCTGTGCCTACCTGGCAGTAGTTCCCGGGCACAGACCCGCTCGGCTTGTTGTAGGTGAAACCTCCTTCCAGCTGTGCTAAATGAAGAGTGCATCCTCCCTGCTATGTCAAGGGGGCTTTAACTCCACCCAGAACAGGGTACAAGCCAGCTCCCATGTCCTGATTTGTCAGCCTGACACAATGCCTGTTTTGCTTCAGTCTTCCCGTAAAGGGTTAACTCTGCCCAGATGCTGCCCACTGGTAATGTTAACAGCTGGGGGAAGGTGCACATCCCAGAAGGGAAAGAACAAGGCAGCTCTCCTCAGGGCAGGGTTTCCAAACTGTGGGCTGCAGCCCAAATATGGGTCCTGATACAGGCCCACGTGATCTGCCACCACGGATGGAGACCGGTCTACATGCCCCTCCATGGGACAGTGCCCCACACCCAGTAGGTGTGTGGTTCACTAACACGTACAGCACCTACCGTTTGGGGGGGGGCAGGTGCTACTCCCTTGCCCCCACCCTGAGGCACTCTGGGAATGCTGCCCTTCTATGGAGCTGTCAGGTGTCTGGAGCTGGAATTTGTTTGGAGGGAAGCTGTGTGAAGGAGCCTTATTAGCCCCAGCAGAGTACCTGGGAGCCTGCCTGGCTGGGCGGGCCTGATACAGCCTCCCCCCAGATAAAGCTCTCCCCTGGAATGACTCCCTGCAAGGGAACCTTGGGCAGCCAAGGCAGCGCTTGTGGCAGCCACGGCCCCTGCCACTGTGACACGAGCAGGCCAAATCAGAATAGTTATTGGCGCTTTCCAAGCGTGGGTATGGTGTGGCGGTGCTAGTACCCCTGGTACTAGGTCTCAGAGGCATTTGTCATTTGGAACACACACCTCTGCAAGACTGTGTGCACTGCCACACACTGCTTCCTCAGCCCCATGTTGTTCTCAGGGCGTCGCACACCCATGTGGGTTACCAGTGTCATAGCAAGCAGAAAATTCTCTGCTACCAGGGGAAACTCCCCATAAATTAATCTCCTTCCTTGTCCAGATATTCCATAGCCACGTCCCCAGGACACCCGACTTCCCCAGTCACTGTACGTGGCGTGTCACAGTGTGGGGGAGGCACTGGGCCCTGCACGCCTATCTGCTGTCAGATGTGTCTCTCAGCCAGCAAGCAGAACAGAAGGTTTATTGGTTCACAGGGACACAGTGTAGCACAGACTTGTTGTTACAGGAACCAGGAGCATTCAGTACAATCCATCTTGGGGATAGGGAGCCCAGAGCCAGGCTCCCCAAGCCAGTTAGACTCCCTTTTCCCTCAGCCAGCCTCAAAAACTAAACGCACACAACTAGCAACTGGTCCCAGCCCTCTAGGCAACTCCACCCCTCCTTAGTTCAGAGAGTTACTAAAGAACAATGCAGGACAGTAGAATCACATACAAATCCACAAGGCAAACAGACAGAGCGAATACAGTGACTCCAAGAGTGAAGAGAATCCCCATTATGTCATACCTGACCCCCATCATCTCAACGAAATACAGTTCCACTGCCAGCAGCTACCAGATCAGTTCTGACAAATCCCTTGCCCCGCACCTATCCCCGACCCATCTTTTGGTTAATAACCAAAGTGCAAGGGTCTGTGCTGCTTGAAGGGAGCACTATGAAACAATAATGATTCTTTTAAATCCTGCTCATTCTGTTCTTTATTAAATCTTTGTCTGCTTGAAAACATCCCTGTTCGATTACAGCCGCAACCAAGGCAACTGCAGTCGGCACAGAGCCAGATACAATGTGAAGCTGCTGGAGGGATGGCTACTGAGCCCAACTGATGTCCCTCTGTATGAAACACAGAATGGATTTACACGTGGAAGGCACAGCCATCCCTAGCACTTCGAGGCTGCACAGAGCACCAAACACCTACAACCCCTGGTGCAGTGGTGGCTGCACTCAAGAGCTGCAGGGCCAGGAGCTGTAGGGGGCTGGCCCATGGCTGCAGGGGGAAGAGCAGAACAGGGAGGCAAGGCAGCAGGGGTTAAGCCCACACCTGGTTGCAGCAGGTAAAAGAATGACTCCCTGCTACATTGCTGGGGGGTAGAGGGGAAGCTTGGGGGAAGAGATAGAACTGCCCCATATTCACTGGCGGCAGGGAATGGAGCAGGCTTTACTTCCCGCTGCTGCCAGTGAGTGCAGTGGTGGGCCCCAACTCCTACTGCCAACTCCGGGCCCCCAATAATCCATCCAGGCCACGTTGCTTGGGGGCAAGGACTGGGGGAAGAGATGGAACGGGGCTGATAAGAGGAGGAGCAGGGATTTGGAGGAAGGAGTGGAATAGGGGAAGGAAGGAGGCAGAGCATGAGGTTGTTGCGGGTCCTACACTCACCCAGGCATGGCCCTGGTCACTACTGTCTGCGGGGAAGGAGAGACAGCTGGGGGATGAAGTGGACTGACAGAGCTCTCACTGTCCCATGTACCGCTGCCTAGAGCGCTACGAAAACGGGCAATTTGGCACCCCAAATTTCGTGGTGCCCTAGGAGGCTGTGCATTTTGTATATTGGTAGGGATGGCCCTGGACGAAGAGGTTACAGTGGAGAAAAAACAAGGATCAAGCAAGAAGTGTGTGCTACTAGTAACCCTACATAAAAAGGTAATCTGGTCTTTGTCAGTGAGTTAGTTTGATCCCTACGCTTTAATGATGCTGATGCAGTGAGTTATGGAAACAGTTCAGCTCAAATTGTGAACAGCACAAGAGCAAACTATCCTACTGCGTAGGAAAGACAGGAAATATGGCAAGAGACCACCAGGAGAACTTCAACGATTTAAAGCCCAAAAATGAATCCTACTAAAAAAGGGAAATGGATCAAATTATGAAGAATGAAGATAAACAAACACCACAAACATGTAGAGACAAAACTGGAAAATCCAAGACACAAAATGAGATTAAACTAAATGTAATAAGAAAACATTGTTTCTAAGCAATTTTCCCTGATTTGATCCTCTCAGTGGTGCCCCCAGAAACCTTGCTATATTACAGAGGGCAAATTTTTTTTACTTTGAATAAGGGGGTCACAAGAGAAAGAATCAACTAGGCGGTAAATAAAACCAGAAAGAGAAAACACAAGCCCAAGTTTAGGGATTTGCGTGTTGCTTGCCTCTGGATCCTTTCTAGTTTCTCTACATCCTTTCTATTTATTACTGACCAAAACTGAATACAGGACTCGAGCGGAGGCCTACTCAGCACTGCGTTGAGTGGTCACCTCCTGTGACCTGCATGCTAGGCCTCTGTTAACACAACCCAAAAGTGCATTTACTTTTTTTTTTGCAATTGCTGATTCATGTTCAGATGGCAGAAGGAGGAACAGCACCTGTAGTCTGATTAGAGACAGAAATGTCAAGTAATTAAAATAATATACAAAAGTGATCTTAGAAGCGATGGACTAATATTAATAAATGTGAAGATTAATTTGTTACTTACCTATAAAATTCAACAGGACCTTTACACTTGAGCATAAATCATACTTTATTGTGCATCAACCCTTCGTAGCATAAAGCTTTTCTTCACTAAGTGCTTCATATCAACCCTAGTCCTGATCTATAGGGCCTTGGTGAACCAGTCTAGTTGACCTACTTTGTTTTATAGTGATGTCAATAAAGACATTTATCAAAATTGGATAGTGTGATGAGAGAACCACAGGCCTGAAAAACAGACATTTAAAAATCAAAATTGATTGGAAAAATAGTGAATATATCAAAATAATTCAAAACATATTCCCTATTTTTCTGTAAGAGAGACATTTGTTCCAAGGAGTAAAATTCAAAACATGTTCCCTACTTTTCTGTAGCAGAGACATCTGTTCTAAGGAGTAAGGATCTAAAATGCACAGTGATGTTTTAAAGAGTGATAAATGTTTGCTTTTAAATGTAAATGTATGGACACAAAAATATTGCATGATGATTTTTTTTTATTTTGGATGGTAATTAAGATCCAGATGGACACAGGACCTGAAGAAACAAGAAGAGGGTTGGGACACAAACATCACATTAGGAGACAGCAGCAGTAGCAACTTGTAGATAACATGTAGATGTTACACACTCTCCAAGTTACAGCTATATAGGCTACACCATTAAAGAAAAATAGACCCCACATTTACAGAGAAGCCAGCTGTCTAGTCACTAATGTGAATACTTATGTTTTGCTTGAAGGGAAAAAGCACTTCAGTAAGGTTTTTAATTTTGGTTATAACTGGTTTGTTCTCAACTCCATAGAGAACCTCTCCATAGCTTGGGTATACAAACCAATTCCCTTCTTGACTCTAATAAGCAGGGGTGAGCATCTCATCTGGTACAAACAATCCCCCTGCCCAAAACTTTGCTGTGAAGAGACTGCAGAATGAACCCAAACAAGGATGCTTCTAAAAGACACAGATGTAGTGGGTGGCCTGGCCAGACAGTGAAGATGTGGCTTTAAGACCTTCCCACCCTCAAAATCTCATGACAAAGTCTCTCTTGTATCAAGAGATGCAAAGTGAATTTCATGAATCTCATGATTCACATGTACTGCTTTTGCTTGGACCAACCGGCCAGGTGTGCTTTGTAAGGTCTTTGGGGCTAGGACTGCTCAGTGAAGAGGCCCCAACCTGACTGGACTCTAGCCCTTACAGCAATATAAAGGGTCCATAATAAGCTTCTGATAAGACATTACATCAGCTCGGTATGGCATTGGCATGCTCCACCCTGGGCACTACCGCTACTGCAGGGTACGCTGTGGGGAATGTTGTGCCAGAAGAATCTTGAGGGCCAGATTCAGATTTTTTGTGCCACCTAAAGAGAGTGGAACAGGGCAAAAAAATGAGGCCCATGGGACTTAAAACGGAAGAGACACCCTCATTCTCATTGGAATAAAGAACTGTTACCATGAAGACGCAGCACCCTTGTGACATTAGCATATTTCCTCCCAAGAGTCCCTGCCCTATGATCAGATCTAATCAGCTATGGATGTCAAAGGATAATGAACTGCTAAGCATATTTTACTTGGAATACAGTGTGAGTCAATTAACCAGCTTCCCGCTGGCACACAGATGATGCTAGACAAATGTGTCTGTTAATGGGACATTCCTGTGGACAGATTTTTTTGCTAATGACTAAATGTAACCGTGTAGAATAGAGTTATATAACACCCACCTGTGGGCACGGAGCACGCTCGAGGCAACCCAGTCTCAGATGGAAGTGTTCATATACTGGCTTCCAATAATACCAGCGCATGCCACACAGAGCACTCCCAGCACTTTGAAGAGAGTGGCTCGTGAAATCCAAACAGCGTCTTCTGGCAAAGAAAGTGTTATGAAAAACTGTAAAAAAATATTCTATACATATGGTTTTTTCAGTGTATAAGAACAGGCCCCACTCCAAGTCCATTGTGCCTTTACAATCAAAATTCTCATTCTTAAATATCATCAACAAACAGAACCACACCGATTACCACCTGACTAACAGCCTGCTTCCCAAGAGGTTTCA